AAAAACGCGTTTTCTTCCTTTTTCTTTCCTATATAAGAAGTCATTCTTTCATTTGTAAACACACAGAATAGAGAAAAATAATAAAAGTTCTTTGTTTCTTTGAAACATGTTCTAATTCTCTCTCTTCTCCAAAAGGGAAATTTTTAATTGTTCTTAGATATGATAATATCCTACAAAAAATATTTATGTTTTTAAACTACTGATGGATCATTCCGGTAGGTATGTTCTATTGTTCTAAAATATGGTACTAATAATCAATATTAGTCCCAGATCTTTAAAGAACAAATGTTATTTATGAGATTTTTGTTTCTGTAAATCCTTTGTAAAGTTTTATGTTTCATGCTGAGTATATGATAAGAGCATATCTTAACTCCAAGTTAAAGTTTAAACTGTTTTTAAAATAAGCCCTGAGTGACCCTTCAAAGCGTAAAGGCCTTGTGGAAAGGCTAGTGAAACGCATAGAAAGGGGAAAAGAATCACTGTTTTAAAAATTTTTGTTAAGGGAGTACCAGTGGTGTCCTTGCAAGAATGGAGTGTATATATATATATATAAACGTTTTTGAAATTACTCCCAAATGGGCTCCTTGTAAGTCAGCAATTGGTGTGAATTTATTTTCGTCTGGAGGTGAAATTTTGAGTGGCGTCACTGCAATAGATGGCTTTTCTTCGATTAGTTTGTCAAGCTTTTCTTTGTTTGTTTCAATCCTGCATATATAAAGCAAACAATTAAGGGTGAGATTTACTACTGTAAATGATATTTATGAAGTTAGGAAAATTGAAGAAATTTCTTAGTTCTGTTCGATAACCATTCTTTGTAGTCTGTGACAGCTACAATTTCAGGATTAATGTAAAAGTGCTGTTGACTTTTGTAGAAAGCGTAACTCCTAAAAAAAAATTTCAATCATAAAGTTAGTGTTTATTTTACTTAAAAAATATAAATGTAAAGGAAATATTATATTTCTATTTTGTTTACCATTGTATGAAGAAACCTTTAAATTAGTCGTCCATATGATTGGTTTGCTTTCGATGTTATCAGTTATTGTAACGCAATCATTTTCAACAAAAGTGTCCCACATCGTTAATATGATCGTCTCAAAAGATTTATCTATCAGCACAACATCTTGAAGACATGTTTGTGTGCCAAATTGGGTTTGGATAATTCTTTTTTGACGAACTTCTATAGCGATGCCTATAACACCTGTAACAAGGAATTTTTGTTGATATCATATTTTGTATATGATAAAATGAATATAAATAGAACGATTATAAAATGTTAACTAAATTTATATTGGCTATAAGTTAGTGTGTTTGTAATCATACTTATCTCTGCATTACTATCCATGCAGCGTTCCAATTTGTTGAATCCGGTGAGTTCATATCTCGAGAAGAGAAAGTTTAAATTATCCTCCTTAAGTTCTTTTATCTTTGTCTTTGCTGTTATGGTCCAAATTTTGTCTTGAAGTGAGCCTCTGAACTCATTTCTGTTGTCTTTCACAGTTGCATTTGATAACATGTATGTTTTCCCTAGTGTTAGCTCATCTGCAAGGGCTATAATATTTGCATCATAGATAATGGCAATAACTTTTTTACCTTGTTCAAACGTGGAAACGAGTTCAATATAAATATATTATCAAAACAAATATTTAGAACAGAAATAAGAAGATTTTTATAGTTATGAATATATATTTACCTCTAAATCCATTAAGAGAAGATTTTGGTAGTGGCTAACGGTATTTCGAGCAATTTTAGGTGCTTGTTTTCCTGCAACTATGATTTTTGCGGTCCAATTCTTCTCAAAAGTGGAAATCTATGGGATAAGTTTATAAAATGCGGCCATTCTTGATATCCTATGATTATGTGAAGAAGAAGTTATAACACAGATGGCTACGGTTGTCAATGTTACGTTAAATTTGTTGTAAAAATTCTATTAATGTTTCTAATTCTAAAAAGAAATTATCGAATAATCTAATGTTCTTCTTTTCGATTAAAAGATAATTACAGTAAAACGGTAGTAACGTGCAAAACTTATCAATAATAAAACGAAAACGGAGTTTTTAAACTTTGGCAGTTGCAGTTGAAGAGTGTGATGTTTATGATACTGTTGTAGAATTTTGGTGTTGAAGGAGAAAGTGAAGGTACTATAAAATAGTTAGTCGAAAGCAGATATTAATAGAACATGCAGTAGAAGAATTGTTTTTTTAATCTGCAACCATACACTTGGTGCTGTAAAATATCTTTTTGTGTGGATGAGAATTAAGCTAAAAGAAAATTTTGATGATGGTTTATGTTTAAAAGTTTTGCGTGGAAAGTTGGTACTATTTTTTATTATTTGTAAAATATCTATTTCACGTAGACATATATGTAATTGATGATGGTTTATGTTTAAAAGTTTTGCGTGGAAAGTTGGTACTATTTTTTATCATTTGTAAAATATCTATTTCACGTAGATATATATGTAGAGTTGAAAAGTATTTTATGGGAAGTTGGTATTTTTCTGTGTTAGTTTTTTACTGGTGCACGTGTTCATTTTGAAAAATATCACTTTACAATTTGCTAAAATTTAATAAATGGTGTTAGATTTACAAATTGAAAGAATGATTGTTAATCCATATGTTTCAAATACGAGTGCTTTATGCACAAGAAATTTATTAAGGAACCTATGGGGATATTCTAGTCAAGCATCTTAACTTATATTATCATAGGTCTTATCAGGTTAATTATTACTATCGTTGTTGTTTGTTCTTTTTCCTTTATTTTCTCTTGGATTGATGTATTTTGAAGAGCTATCGTGTTCATTTATTACATTACTAAGAAGAAAATTCAATTTATGGTCGAAAAATGTATGAATTATATGAGAAGCATTAGTTTTTAATTAAGTGAAAGACTAAATAGAAAACCCCGGAAGCCAGAAAGATGGAAAATATAACAAAGCATACTATGATTAGATTCTTATTTTACAACTTTAGTTCTTGTACATAAAAAAAAAAAAAAAAAAACCTAACTTAGGAAGAAAAATAAATTGTATATCATAATACCAAAACTTGTAAAAGAACAAAATGATACTTATTGAGTATTTAACACTACTCTTTAATAGAAAGATAATCTTTTATGTTATAGCTAAAGAAAAGCTTGTATATACTTAAAAAGTATAAAAAGAAATTTTATAAAATTAAAAATATTTCTTTAAGGCATCCAGACTTTTTACTATTGTGTCTGTCCCCTTTCATGTTAAGAAGTTTTGCTGGACTTATCTTGTAATAAATAAAAAAAGAATATTTAAATATACTTGAGCATAAGAGGAGTAAAACATGAGTTTAGAATTTACTGCCTAACCTTGTCTTCAAATACATAATTAGAGCTCCTTATCACTTCAGAAACAAAAGCAAAATGATTTCTAGGTAGACCTAATATACTTTTTAAAAGAACAAAAATATATTTAAATCTTCAACAATTCATATCTTCTAAATATTAACTGTAGTAGCTAGGCTATAGCATGAAATATTAAACACTTGGGTAGGGTTTATATTGTGTTTTAGGCCAATACACAAGTTTTAATGTTCAACAAAAATAGTAGTAGAAAGATAATAGAAATTTGTATTCTTTCCTTCATTATTACGTCTTTAGTTTTCTCACATAAGCTTTTAATCTTCAAACGCAAAATAATAAATATCTTCAATATGTCACACATATTTTAATTGATAATATGATAAAGCAGATTAATGTGACCTAATGCATTCATGTGCTCATGCACCAAATAAAGGACAAGGACATGTAAACCACAATAGAATATGACAAAATGCTGAAGACTAACATTAGAAATAACAACATTTCATGCTAATTTTAATGCTTGCATTATTAACTGAGAACACTAAATCAATATTACCCGATCTACCAATGTATTTTCCACTTAGCAACAGGAACCACATGAATTCAACAAATGGTTAACACCAAGCTTTAGATAGACATACCAATAAATTATCATTTTTATCACCATGCCCAATATTATTCTTTATCAGCATCTCCCTTGCAGTTGAATCACCACACTGTAGACATTTTTCAACAACATTTGAAGTAAATTTATGCTGGCTCAGTTGTACTATAGATCCAATTATTGTACTAATAATTTGGTTTCTTTCATGAGGTTTTCCCCTCTCTAGTACATGCTGTCATTAGTTAAAACCAATATAAGCAGCATACATGAATCAAAAATTGGAAGTTTGAATTGAAACTTTACAGTGTGAAAACAATTTCATCATTTCACTAATAAATTTTCATTTCAGTCATCATGGAAAAAATTCTAAATTGTAGAACCAACCTTAAACACAAAATGGAGGAAATAGCAAAAGAAACTTATCTAAAAGCTTAATGATGGAGACGTGTAATGATTTAATCTTGACGATTTATAAAGTTTAGAAACTTATTTTTAGAAAAGCAATTAGGGTTTAGTTGTTTGCTATTGTTCTTAGAGCATTTAAATGTAGACGAATATCAAGTAAAACACAAATGAATACAAAAGAAGAATGAAATTAGCGTGAAGTGTATATTGTTTGAAGTTGTCACATTTTAATTATGATTATTTCACAAAAATAGTTAATAAAAGTGAAATGGTCTTTGAATATAATAAAATTAAGATACACTATAAGATATGTGAAACTATTAACACATATATCTAAAGATTTAAACAACTCACAAAATGTTCCTAAACATCCGAGCTCAGCGACATCTGTGTTGATAATGTCTGGTAAAGAAGAAACAAAAAAAATTTTAGTGGAGTAAATGAAAACATTATTTTTAACCAAAACTTTAAGCTGGAATAATTGAACTAACTTAAAAAGCTAATTGTACACGTAGAAAAAAAATATATTAAAACTATATAACATCTCAAAGAAAAATGCTATACAAATCAATATGAATATATATATTTTATAATATGATAAGCATAAATTAAAAACATATAAAATTGTCATACCTCATAGTATTTAAAATACGTTTTCTTATCAAGAATCCCTTTTATACCTCTAAAAAGTGATCAAATTTCAATTCCATTGGAAAGAACTCAATTCCCTATTAAACCATGATTTACAACTTCACATTAGCTTGATAAAATCCTTAAAAAAATTTGTCATAGCCCTCAGTCACCTAAATGCAAACATAAATAACTAATTAGCAAGTGAGTTTTATTAGAGTCGTCATGATTGAAGTATATTAATTTATATTATAATTCAGTTGGTGATTCAAAATATAAAAAACTTGAATTGTTGCAGAATTTTTTTAGACTTTTATTTAAAGTTTAGTTTTAATAGTAAGTACAACAACAATAAGGCTTTGTACAAGAGCATTGATGCCTAAATTAACTATTTGAAAGAATGAAAAAGTAGTTGATTTAGCAATTCATATTTGTGTTGTGTACCCAAATATACATATGTACTCATTAAACAATGAAGCAAGTTTATTGGAAAATAAAAAGTAATATATTATCTAATAAATCAAAATGCCAAGAAAATGCAATACAATAATTGAATATCACTTTAAAGATTCTTATAAAATGAGAAAAGTATGATCGTCGTGTTTAAAGTCAGATATGCAGAATTTTTCAAAGACAAATTAAAAAATAAAATATATGTAATTTTTAGTTTAACCAGTATCCATGTAAATATATTATGTAATGAGAGATTGCACACACTAACAAAGTTTTCAACCTTTCCAATCAGCTCATCAACGGGCAATACAGCAATTGACTTGTCTTTGTTATTTCTTAGTAAAGAAGATGAAGGATACGTTTTGTTGGTATCCATTCCCAAACCGTGCCATGTTTCCTTTGCTATTGCTAGTTGATCACCTAGCAGAGTTTATTAAATAAGGAATCAAGCACCAAAAGTAGTGGAAAGGATCAAATAAAACGTATAATGCTAATAAAACTAACATTTATTCATATGGCCCTAGAAATAATTCATGTTATGCACTCAAGTGACAGTTGACAAAGTAGTCAGCATCATTGTATTGATTAGAATGCAGATGTAGAGATTTATCTCAATTTTAAATAGTAGCATTGCTTTCTCTAAGGATAGTACCTCAACCTAATAAAAGACTAAAAGTTGCTTGCTCAACCAATAAACTCAGTTGTTAAATTCTAAATGTAATTATCAACAGCAAAGTTCATACATAAACTGAGTTCAACATGGTTGGCTATATAAAAGGTGTACTTTTGAGTAAACAAGTAGTTATTTAATTGATCAAAATTAGAATTAACTTTCCTATTTTGCTAGTAAAGTGAGTTATTTTCACAACAAGTAACTTTTACTTAAGATTAAACGGGAGTAACTTATCCAAATATGTTTGAAAATACTTTTTCACGTATTTTTAAGAAAGGCTAAGGATGCTCTTAATCTCCTTTAATTGTTACTTGGAAGTCGAAAGATGTAAGAATTTTTCGATAAACGTATGATATCATAATATGTCAAGAATAAATTTTCTAAATAATAATCATCTGCAATTAAAAAACCCAGAAAATACAAGACAAGTCTATGCTTGCTTCTAAATCAAAAAGTAAGTCAATTGATCGAGTGTTTAGCTTAGCTGAATTTTCAATTAAGCTGGATTCTCGAATTCCTTTTGGTTGTTCCAATGTTTGTTTTCAGTGCCTTTGTTAGCATTAGTCAAGATAATTAGTTTTCAATAACTGAGGAAGAATATTTATGTGACAATTCATATTCATTAAAGTGTGAAACTTTTGAAGGTAAATCTACTCTAAAAATAGAGAAATGGCATTCTATTTCCACATTCCACTAACATAAATTGGTTACCAATCTAGCAAAGTATTATAACACTAACAAATCAAAATCATACCTTCTGCAAACTTGAGTTTAATTTGAAGCTGTCGTTAAGGATTCCATTGTACACATGTAGCAAAGAATTGAAAAGAACTTTTGAATCCCACTCATAGAACCTGAAAATTTTTTTTATAGCAAATGTGAAGAATGAAAAAATAGTAACGTCATATTTTTGCATGCAATTAAAATTTTGAGAAAATCATTAAACGATAGCATATTATAAAAATTTCTGAGCGACAAAAAAATATACCTTTTAAAACATTTTAGGTATATGAATGTATAAAAGAAAGAATTTTTTTGTACACAACATTTTTAGTACATGTGTTACGAGAATTGTCTATGCTTGATGGTTTCAATAGAACTTTTAGAGATGTGCTCGTTTTTGTTCTTGATAATGCTACATATAGCTGACCATGGCAGAAAATCGGTTCTGGAAGATATAGATTGACAAAATCAAGTGTTTGACCTTGTGCTTTATTTATGGTCATCGCAAAAAACGGTCTAATCGGAAATTGAGTTCTCTTAAATTGAATTGAGTTTCTATCACTTTGAAGAGGTATAAAAGGGATCCTTGGTAAGAAAACATATTTTCCACAATATTCACCGGTTGTAATTTTAGCTAAAATAACGTTTTTTTCTCAAATTTTCGAAAAGTAAGGCGTATTCCATTTCATAACCCTTCAGAATGATTGATATTCCGTAGTAACATTACAGGAAAGTTTATCTTAAGTTTCAATTCATGCGGTGGAATACGAATTGGTGTTAAAGTATTCAAGAAATCTTCTTGCAAGTTTTGTTCTGATTTATCAATTGCTTCATCAAAATTGTAGTATGTAAAAATTTCACCGAGAATTTGTTCACGTAAAATCCTGTTAATATAATCAACACATTCATTCGTAGCCGTTAGAATAACTCTATTTACCATATCATGTAGATTGTCATATTTGGAAAAACATGATGTATCAAAATTTTTAAAGATGTGATTTCATCTTCAAATGGTAGAATTATACTATTCGGAAGCATAACGCACTTACAAGTATGTTCTTCTTCTGTTCCATCTCCAATTCTAAGTAAGTAAGTATAGAACATAAGATCTAACTTTTGCTCTCATATTCTCAACCAATGGTAAATGTAAATAGGAAGGCCATAGGTCTGAAAAAACCAAGTTAACTTTCATTACATCTTCTTTTTTCCCTCTCGGCACCACTGGTAGAATTTGTTAAAAATCCCCTACAAAAACTATCACTTTCCCATCGAAAGGCAAGTTACAATCAATAATATCTTTAAGCATTCTGTCTACAGCTTCAATAGTACAACAATTTACCATAGGTGCTTCATTCCAAATTATTAACCTAGACATTTTCAACAACATTCCTAAAGCTGATTGCTTGCTAACAGAGCAGATCACTTCACCAACTGTTTCTAAAGAAATTTTAAATCTCGAATGAGCTGTGCGACCTCCAGGCAACAATGATGCAGCAACTCCAAAGGATGCTGTTGCCAAAACAATGAAATTTTGACTTCTTACACTAATGAGAATGGCTTTGTATAAAAAAGTCTTCCGTATTCCCCCTGGACCATCAATAAAGAAAGTACCACTTGATTCATTTTTTATTTTTTCCATAACTGTATCATATGCAAATCGTTTTTCTTTATTTAATTGCTCTACATAATTGAAGCCTCGTTCAATATTGAAATTGATTGTTTCCTCTGCAACCATTCTTGTCAATCTTTGAGTCTCATCTATATTTACGAAGAATGAAACTATTCCATAATCATTTACATTTTTACCTAATGATTCTAATATAGAATTGATGTCTTCCAAAGCTTGTACTTCAACATCTTCAACATATATGTTTCGATGTACATAATCATCAATCATATAGGCTTTATATTTATCCCACAATAGCTTTGAATGATTAGGGCTACAAAGTGTAAGAAGTGTTGCAAAAAGGCGTCTTAAAGAATTAGGCATTTTGTAAATAATAGCTTTGGATAGACATTCTTCACAATGATTATCCCCTTTTAACAAACCATGTAAAAGTGCTGCTTCTCGATATGTATTAACAGTTACTCCATTTAAAGTTTTAAAACTATCAAATGATGTTGGACCTCTAAAATAATTCAGAAGAACACGAAGGAAATATCGTTCTCCTTCAGATGGATTGATTGTCACAATTCGTCTTATAACAATGTGTTGTTTTCTAGGAGTCCAAACTTTCCCATTTGCATTCCACACAAAATGTATTGGGAAATCTCGATACAACAATGTTCGAGCAAATTCATTTGCTTCATTCATCCGAAAAAATTCTGTTAACATTGTTCTTCTCGTATACTCATTCCCAATAATAATAGATAAATCATCTTTATTATTATAAGTTGCGTGTTTTTGATCTTTAATATGAATTTGTAAAGTATAAACAATAGGATAAATTTCTAACAAATTGAAAGAAAAAATTCTCCACATAGCTTCAGGTGGAGATATCCATCTAGCTGATTGATAAGTAGAAATTTCATCAATTTCCTTGTCCGTTTCATTTCTGCCTAAGAAACAATTAATACGATCATGTCTTTTATACACATATTTGTACAAATACTTTACTGCTTTAATAGAATAACATACTTCAACATTAATATAACAGTCAAATTTTGTACTTAAATAAGGATTATATGGTACAACTCATCAATTATCTAACATTTGACCTCTCACTTTAATAGAAATACCATTATTACAACATTTATACAATGGATATGAGTTATCACCAAATATAGTATTGTTACAATAATCCTTAGGATATTTATTTTTACAACCACTGCTTGCCAACATACACAAATTTTTTGGATTAAGATTTTCACAAGGACCATGCATATTTTGTTTTGCAATTACAGAATGAAGATGCAAGTTTTTATTCTTATCGGGAATTTCACATGACACTATCATATCAACTTGTTCAGTGCAACAAATTTTATGGGCGGAATTGAAAATCAACAATAAATGTGCATGAGGAAGCCCTCTTTTTTAAATTTCAATCATGTATATATGAGCAATAACTGGGCCAAAAATATTTTCTTTGTACAAATTATTTTTTAATTCTTCTAATTTTGCTCTAAATATATGTGCAATTAAATCTGGTCGATTTTGAACTTCGTCATTGTATTCCAGTTCTTCCGTAATTTCAGGCCAATTTGGATTACAAGTTATAGTTAGAAATATATCTGATTTTCCATAGCGTTGAACGATAGCCATTGCATCTAAATATCTTTTGAGCATATCTCTAGGCCCACGTGTGAAAGTCTGTGGTAGAACAATCTTCTAACCAATTTTTGACCCTCTTGTTTCCCCATTTTGAATACTATCTACAATAGATTGATAAAGTTCAGCACGTATTTGGTTTTGGTTGCTACGAAAATAGTCTAATATGATAGTTTCAATCTTAACGTACATATCTACAACATATTGTTGAAAGTCTACCAGTGTGAAGTAACACAAACTTACCAGAAGGTCTAATTTGTAACTTGTAGGAATAGTACTCTCGACAAGAAACCTAAGATCGTTTCTTCATTCCATTGAGCATTGCATGAGGATAAAGAAAATGCATCTTACATCCATCTAGAACACTTACTTTATATAAGTTAGAAAACATACAAAAAAGTGTATTAGCAAACTTTCGGCCTCTTTTTCAATGATTTCGGTTGCAAAATTTACTGCGCTAGGAAAAGCTACCCAGTCAGCCAAATTTTGAGTTTCAAAATATGTCGTTTGGTATCTTTGAATAACTTCATGCCAACCATATTCTCCAAATGGGAAAAGTAAAGGATATTGCAAAGGATCATAACAACCATAACAATAATGAACTCTATAAATCACTAGAATGACCATATATTGTAATATCACGAGTACGAATATTTGCATTGTCATCATCCTCAACCCATACAGCAGCTACTTGAGATGCTGAAGGAATATTGAAGACTCTTTGATCAAGTCCAGGATCGCATCTTATTTGTATTCGATGGTCATGCAAATTAGTCATATTACTTAAAGACCTAAAGAGTCTACTATATGGATTTACTTTCAAGATTTCAATCAAAATGATCAAAGTAGATTCAACAAAATTTTCATACGATTTTCAATTTCGTTATCTGTATCATAAAAATATAACTACATATAAGAAGGCTTATTATTTTCTAGCATAAGTTGATTCACATAATGATATACTTGTCCCTGAACTCTAAAAGTCTAAATACTTTTATATGTTCTAAAAAGTTCTTTATCACATTTTACACCAAACAAAGTGAAAGCAAAATGGTTATTATATCCACGTGCAATTTTCTTCAATTCCATGCATTCAAGTTCTTTAGAAGTAAATAAATCATACAATTCAGTCGGTGAATCAGCCATATAAAGTTTAACTTTTCCATCAGAACAACAAAACCCTTTAGTTTCTCTATAAAATTTTCGTGCACCACAATGTTCATAGTAGTTCCATGTCCGTAATACATATGCATTAGTTGGTATGTTCAATAGGTTAGAAAATTCTCGTACTTTAGAATGAACAATATTAGTCGATTCTTGATTTGAAGTGGAAGCCTGGAAAATAGGAGGAACTGTAAACTTCTGAGCATGGGAAACACCTTAATTATTTTTTCCAGATAATGTAGAATCATTTATCCTTTTACGTCGATCAATGCGTGGAGTTTGAATTCGATTCCTCTTATCCGCCTATCTTTGATTTTGTTGTTGGCGAATAAATGCAGTATATGATTTACTTGTATTTTGAGAAGTACCATCAATGTTACAAAATCTAGATTCTTGATCAGCAGATATTTTTGAAGAATTCATGGAGAACAAAACTTCACCTCTAATTTAATGAAAAAAATTCATTTTAGTAAATGAAATAACAAAAAAAAATTATTAATACTACTCAATTTCCACAATAGGAAAAATATTTGACAAACACAAGTTAATCAGACGTTCACAACATTAAAAACATGCATAAAACTAAAGTTTAATCACAAAAATCGTTTACTTGAATGCAATAGTAATAAAGATAAACATCGCTGCCTCACATATTGATTAAATAAAATTTTAATAAGACTTGTAGGATTTAAATGCAGGAGAAAAAAAATATTACTATTTTCATTTGATTTTTGTAAAATAAAGAGTTTTTTTTTAAACATAAATACTATTATTATTTTGTAAATGTTTTTGCTATACTACTATTGAAGATGAAGAAGAGAAAGACTTCCAAAAAGGAACGAGGTTTTCATCTCTAATTTTAGTGATTTTGCTCCAACCCAGTCAACCTACACATCCAGTATTTTTCTAAAATTATAATGTAAGTAATTCATCAAAAATCATGAACTTAATAAATTCATAAGTTGACTACTGGAAGTGCACAAAAGAATCAGGATAGCAATTGAAAGTAATGAAGCAAAAATATACAAGTTGAAAAGTGGAAATATACAAAATAGTCAAGAAAAGAACTGAAAGTTGTATATAAAAAAATATTCAAAGTTATTTCACATATCACTAAGAAAAATTGAAAAAATTAGTGTAAAATGGATATTGTTTAAAGAAACTATACCTGAATTACGTAGAAATTGTCGTTAACAAAAGATTACACAATTGTCCTACATCATCGGAACATAGAAAATAGTGTCAAGCACATCTGAAATATTATCCTGTTTATCTTATGTTTTTATTGAAAGATAAATGCTAGTTAAGATCCACAAAGGATACAAAAAATAGGCCACTTAGTGTCCCCTAGCACTTCATACAAAAGACTATTAACAAAAAGAAAATGTCAATACCATGGCATGCTAACAAATATATTGTTTGCTTCTTGAAATCAAATAGTTATTTTAGACGTTAAAAGAGGACAACAAACATAACCACAAACTTGTTTGAACATAAAGTAAATTAATTAATGAAAAATAAAAACAAAAAATGATGGCACATAGTATTCCATATAATTAAATTTGAAGATTTGATTGTATCAATTCAAGTTCTTCCTAAAATTCATCATTAGTATTTAGTATCCACCTTTCGATATTCTATTGAAGGTAATAAAAGATTTCCATCGATGAATTTATGCCTCAAAGAGCTCTAGCCAAGTATCTTTTTTAATGAAAAAGTATATAACTAAAGTAATTCTTCAAATAAAGATTTCATATCTCACCGTATATTACAAAAAAGCAATTTCTCCCAACTTTAGTTTCTTGTTGCCTTTTTCCACTTCTCTGTTTTTATGACTTTTACTGTTTGAAGTGGTATCCAAATATAAAGATGGTCAAATACTTCCTGTTTTCCTTTTTCTTTTGTTCTCGAATCTCGATGAGTTCTTTTTTCTCCCTCTAGAATTAGTAAAGCAAAGATAAGGGAAGGCAAATGATTGAATTATGTTTATAAGGTTTGGGTAAAAAATTTAAAATCATCTCAACTTTAAAAGCACGAGGCTCAAATTTGAGATCCTTGCATAGGAAGTTATAAAATCACATAGTACATACATATTCGGAAATTTTATACATAGAAGCACAAAACATCAATTGGACCAAAAAAATAAAAATAAAATAAATAAATAAATTCAAAACCCTTACCTGACAAAGATCTCCCCACTACAGCCTTCGATTCCATGAGATAACTAATATGATCTAACCTATACACATAAATAGCAAAAAATTTTAGTTCAAATCTACAAAAAAAAAATTGGAAGCTAAAATAGTCCATAATTTACAATACAAATAGAAAAGTTTCTTTGTAAAAAAATATTACCGTACATGAAAGTAAACATGAAATATTACCGGTGTCTAATTTCTATACTATTTCAAAAGGTGTTTTCTCGTTTCACAGAGAAGCAGTGGTAAACAATGAAGGTAAACAATGAAGAAGAAAAACGACAAACAAAAACAATTTTCGTGAGAAATGATTTAGATAAAGCAGATTGGAATCAAAATTCACATTATATATTTTACAGACAATGACAGATTGCATTTATTATATGAAAATTGAAAAGACCATGACACCCTAACTTTAATAATCATTTTGTCAAAAATACCCTTAACTTAATGCTTCACATTATTTTCAATCAATTTTGATATTGAGGATAAAGTAGGAATTCATGACATTTACCAGTACCATGCCATAAAAGTCAAATTTGTAACAAATAATTTTCCGTCTCACTGACATTGAGAAATGAATGCGGGCCCACAACAATTGTACAAGGGCGGATGTGGAGACAATAGAAAAGCAGTAGAAGAAGTAGACTACGTGGTCTAGAGAAGAAAGCGTGTCCCATTTTCTTACATAAATAAACTACTGTAGCAAAATCGGATAAGTTGGATGTAGTGTGAAAAGCAATGTGACATAAATGAATAGTAATATTAAAGCCTCTCTCTTTTAAGAGGTAGTAGATTATATAACCGTGTGGTATGACAAAAAGTTAGCTGTCAAAATTTCTGAGGTCTAATGGCTGAGTACATTAAGAAGAGAAACTCTAGTGTTTACTAAACTCCTAAAGAAGGCTTTTAAATTCTCTTCAAGTTCCTGGATGGTCATTTCCGATTCTTCCAATTGCTTTGTGACATTTTGCACAGATAATTGTCCACGTCTTTTTATAATTTTTCTATGTTCAAGGCATACAATTCTTGAGCATTGCTCTCATCTTCTGTCTGAGAATGTACACGGCTTGATTGGGTGAACATGGAAACTAGGGACTTAGATTTTTTTTTTTTTTTTTTTTTTTTTTGGGGAAACTAGGGACTTAGAATTATTATTATTATTATTATTTTTTTTTTATATATATATTTTTTTGGCGCTTGTTGCAAAAATTACAATGCAGACTTGAGGACAGAGAAGCCAACGGCTTGTGCTTCTTTTAGCATGCTTACAGTGGCCATAAGATTACTTGCGTGAACTTGGAAATTAGGGACTTTTTTTTTTTTTTTGGCAAAAATTACAATGCAGACTTGAGGACAGAGAAGCCAATGGCTTGTGCTTCTTTTAGCATGCTTACAGTGGCCTTAAGATTGCTGTCTTTCTTTAACATCTCACAAGAACCTTGGTCGAAACCCCAATTTTTTTATGCACTTTTTAACTATTCTGTCAATGTTTTGCACAAATTTTGTATGCACTTTTTAGTAATTAGTCAAGGTAATAACATTTTTTATTCTAGAATTAACCGATCCATGTGCTTCAATTAATTGTAGGTGCTAGTTGTGCTTAGAAATAGGCTAAATCCACCTAAGCATCAGCACAGACTATTAGAGGAAATAAAAATTGTGAAAGGTTCATGTTGATCATGAAAAATGACACTGGAAATCACATTAGTCCCATCCAACTAAACAAATTTCGACGTCAACACCCCTAAAAACAAAGATGCTTGACCAAAAATTATGACGAATAAAACAGATGAGTATATTTTAATAGACAGACATGTAGATTAATAGAAATGTGTTAAAGCTGCAAAAATATTGATTCTATTGATACTGAATCGGTAAAAGTATCGATTTCTATACTGACAAATGTTTACAACTGAGGCGTATGGTAAAAATAAGCAAAATAACTAAAGTCTAATCGCTGATGACATTAAGAAGAGAGACCCGAGTTTTGACTAAACTCTGAAAGAAGGATTCTAAATTCTCTTCTAGTTCCTGGATGGTCATTTCTGATTCCATCAACTGCTTCATGACATTTTGAACAGATAATGTGTCCATGTCTTTTTGCAATTTGTGGATGTTCATGGCATACAATTCCTGATCATTGCTCTCTTCCTCCATCTGAGAATGTACAAGGCTTGAATGGGTGAACTTGGAAACCAGGGACCAAGTTTTTTGCTTTGATGCAAAAATGGTCAATGCAGACTTGAGGACAGAAAAGCCTTCTCTAAACATGCTTGCAATTGCCTTAAGATTGCTGTCTTCGTTTAACAGCGGTGTACAACATGGGTTGAAACTCTTCAAATTTTTTATGCACTTCTTAACCATTTTGTCAATCTGTTTTCTTGAAGTCTTATATGCATCGATGCCTCTATTTCTCCTCAAAGAAGATTCGAGTTCTTGAACAGATTCCTTCGTTAAAAATATAACGTCACGAGCAATTTCACACATATCAATGAGCTTAAGAGATCCATCAAGCAAATCAATGGCCCTATTTTCATTGACGAGGACTTTCTGGAGAGATGGAAATTGAATCAAATTATTAATATCTTCATGCAAATTTCTGAGGCTGGCCAACTTTGTGCATATGGAAGATGCTGATACTGATGTTTCTTTGGAGGACTTTAGCCTGCAGATATGGTTTTCAACATTAGCAATGCCTGGATGAGATTTAGATGGCAAACTGTTTGATCTAACATGGAAAGCCATGATGACCAGAGTTAAGATGAATCAGCTATATTTTTCAATATTTGATGATGAGGTTAATTTGAACCAGCTATATATAGGCAGATGAACTAGAAGAGACACAGAGAATATTTTCCACCAAATATTTTCTCTTATTATTGTTGTAATTCAATTAAGTACAATCTCCCACGAATACTATGTCCCTGTAGATGTTGGACAGGAAGGTGACCGGAAATTGTAAACAATCTGTGTGTGCCTTAAATGATCCAAATTAAATGGATCTTGTAGAGCTCTGTGTGATGCTGCCATACTTGACTTATCAAACAAAAGGAATCATGGCAGAAGTTAATAATATTTTAATTTAAGTTCTTTCTTAATGATACTTGGTCTTTTCTCTTGTTTAGGATTTTACCCTTTACACAATTTCATCTTTTTTTGAACTATTTTGACGAACCATGAATGGTCTTGATTGCCCTTCATTTTGTGTTGAAGTTGCTCAATATATTTCATACAACCCAGCCCCTCAAACAAGGCTAAAAATATTCCTCAGG